TAAACATAATAATAATGACAAAAATGATACTATTAATGATAATTAATATTAATTAACAGTAAGGCTAATGATGTTACAAAAATGTAATTAATTACAACTTATAAAATTGGACCAAAGGAAATAAAACAATAAATTTAAAAAACGAACTCTGCAGCATTTGAATTAAAACAAATGAAAAGGCCTAGGCACACAACATATTATGACTGACAAAAACAAAAACAAAAAGTAAACTATTCCATGAATACTCACAAAGAAAATGTGTCTGTATGTCCGTGACTTTCAAAACATTCTTATCCTCTAAAAGTTCAGAATGGGTAAACGACAACTGCACAAATGTTCAAGGCCGACAGTCCGATAACCCGTCTCATTTGCCGTCGCCACAGTCAGTTGCGTCCCCTGTGGTCTAGCATTGTGATGCTATGTATCCTCTGTGCACACAGGGGATGATCAAGAGAAGGAGAGAGAGCGAGGGAGAGCGGGGGAGAGCGGGGGAGAGAGAGCGAGAGCGGGAGAGAAAGAGAGAGAGAGAGAGAGAGGAAGAGAGAGAGAGAGAGAGAGAGAGAGAGAGAGTAAGAGAGTGGAGTAAGTGACGGGTGGAGTGAGGGAGAGAGGGAGGCGAAAGTGAGAGTAAAGCTGAGACCTGGGCTTGATTGGTTCGGTAGCAGATTTAGGATAATAGTGAGTAAAAAGAGAGACTGCGAGCTGAAGGAGTTGTGTCTGTCTGTGTGTGTGGGATGAGTATATACTGAGGAGGGAAGGGAGGGAGGTGGGAGGAGAGAGAGAGGGTGGTTGGGGTAGGCAGTGCGGCAGGGTCGTGAAGCCTGCGCGGGAGTGAGGGGTTTGGGATGAGTGTGTCTGTGTGCGTGTGTGTGTCTCTCTCTCTCTCTCTCTCTCTCTCTCTCTCTGTGTGTGTCTCTCTCTGCTGTGAGACAGAGGCGCAGTTTCCTGAAATATCTGCGCAATAATATTAGTCCAGCCGTGACAGAGCATGGCACTAATACAAAATCAATGGACTTCTTTGGACGCTAATCGGTTATTTCTGATTAAAAGGTTGTTGGGTTATTTTTTAAATTTAGAAATACTTGTGATACGACCTTTCTCCGGGGATAAGCAAGTGGGCGTGTATGTGAGTGTGTGTGTGTGTGTGTGTGTGTGTGTGTGTGTGTGT